CAGCCCACCTGGGCCCTGTCCTCTGCTGAGGTCAATTGCCCAAAGGTGCACACACACACACACACAACCACAGAAGCACCTACGCTCAGATGCTTGAATTTCACCGGCACTAATTGCAAACAATAATTTGCTCAGAAATGACGGTGTCAGAAAGCAAGTGGATAAATAGATTATCAACAGTTGTGGCACCTTCAGTGTACTCTGATTTATTTTCTCTTTAAAGTCCAGACTTAGTTGGGGGGATTTGAGAAGGGAAAAACAACATTAACATATACTTTGACTCACAAATAAATAAACTGATAGCATTACACTATGCAGATCTCATAGTACCATATCACTCAAATAGAGTACGCCACTCTCGGACTGCAGGCTTGCTTGTGGTTCTTAGAGCCTTTAGCTGTGTTTTATGGAACCAGCTCCCAGTTTGACTTCAGCTGTGGCAGATGGCTGCTCTTCCCTGAGTCTGAGGTTTCTTCCTGTTAAAGGGAGTTTTTCCTTCCCACTGTCACAAAGTGCTTGCTCATAGGGAGTTGTCTCATCGTTGGGTTTTTCTTTCTAGTATTGTAAACAAATGTTGTTGCAAATAACATTGAATTAAACTGAATTCAGTCATTGTTTTTAATTTTAATTAATTTTATGATTAAACTAATCAGCTGATTCCACTGTTACTATAGTTATATATTAATATTTGCAGTAATAATTTGTGTAATGATCGCAGCGTAGTAATATCTTTACAATATGTTTCGAAAGATATTAAAAATATGGTAACATACATTTGATAAAATGCTTTCATGAGTGCAAGCAAAGGGGATACTATATGTTCATTTTACAAAAGTCATGGGCTATTAGCAGTCTAATATAAAGGGGCCATTACTAACACGAATGATGTCATGAAGTGAAGATCCACACACTCCAAATAACTTCTAAATAACATTAAAATTGTAAATAATGTTCAAATTCCCAATGAAAATATTAGTAACAATAAAATAAATCCACATAGATGCCATACTAACATTCAGCCTACCCTAGGTCTCACCAGTAGTTTGATATGCACCAGTGATCCATGTCAGACTACTGGCTACAGACTACTGCTGCATATCAGATTACCATCAGTGAGGCATCACTCTGTACTGGAATTCATTTAAATAGCAGTACAGTCCCACTGCTTTTTTCTTTGTTTGTTTGTTCATTTTTTAAATTGCCTGGCAGCGGTTTTGTGCAGATATCAGGTGTGGTGCACGGGGGTCCTTAACTGAGGTGATCTGTATTTTATCTAGGTGTGCTCTAACACTATATCACCGGTAATTAATACTGAAATACCTTCAGGCATTATGTTCCATACAGGGCTCCCTTGTTTCAAGAAAATACAGTAAAAAATGTTATGTTTGTTGTTGTGATTTGTGTGTTTGCTACCTGAAGACCCTTGTAAAGTTCAGTAAAAGTTCTGATGACTGAGGGCTGCTAAATGCTACCAGTTTCTATTTGATTTCATGTTATTATTATGGTAAAGGACCTTTACCCTGTTCCAACATACACAGTCACTGCTATTTTGTTTTGTTATCATTTTCATATCATTTTCTTCTGTCTGTTTTAGTGCTTATCCTGTTAGTGTGATTGAGACATCTGATACTTTTATACTGAGAGTAATCACAAAATTTTTAAAAAGGGATTAGTTAATTTGATCCAGCTATTACACTGATGTGCTGGCAGATTATCCCATTGTTACCAACATATTAAAAATACTACTACGATCACTGTTCATTGATATGTTTAAATGTGAAAAAAAAATCATGAGTCAAATAAATAAAATGTAAAAAAAATCATATGAGTACTTATTACTCATATCTCATGTGTTCTACTCTCAGTTACTTCTCCATTTCATATACTATGATACTACTGGCTATTATAATCATATTAATGCTCAGATGTCCTGTAAAGTGGTAGTACTAAATATTGTACAATGTGTGACAAAGGGCTAATAAAATTTCCAGGAGTACAGATCGACCTTTTTAAGTTCCCCCACAAGCCAAATATATTTAGTTTAATATTATATGTGATTAAAAGAAAAACCTCACGTATGACTTCTTGCACCCAAAAAATTTGAAATAATGTTCTGAGAAGATTATCAAAATAGCTGCTGATTTATTTTCTATCATCTGACAAACTGATGAATTAAGTGTTTTTGACTCAGTTGGGACTTTTGTTACCCGGCAAGGTTTTTTTTAAGCAGTTTAATTCATTGCTGTCACTTTAGACAGTCAGTGTGAGTACAGCTGCCAGTAAAATACAAAAAAACAGAATCAGATGGACTGGCAACTGTACAAACTTTACCAGCAAGCATCAAAATAGAAATGGGCGCTGAAGTTCTGCCAGTACTTTCTGAGAAAGCACTGAATACATTTGAGAGCAAAAACAGAGTTAAGTAATAAACCTATCACAGTGACAAGTCTCAAGGGCATCGCGATTTTTTAACTATGATTCTGCTCGTCTCGTTTGCTTGGTACAAGTGCGCCAGCGAGGCCACACTTAGTTGACTCTTTGTGACGTGCATGCTGTAATTTAGAGTATTCGCTAAACAATTAAACACAAGAACAAGAAGTGTGCGGCGTGTCTGTGCACAGAGAACTCAGCAGTCCACAGCTGCACTTTGGTGAACATGAAAAATGTTCCTTTAATACAGAGTATGATTAACACTGTGACTGTAACCTGGGTGTGATTACAACTTTATACACAGTCAGCTCTCACACATCGCATGAACATTTTGTCTTACGGGTGTCCGTTCTATTTCTGTTTAAGGTGTAAGTGTAACCTCCACGCCTCCCAGTGCCTGCCAGATGAGGATGGCGGGAACCTCCAGTGCCAGTGTGAACACAACACCACAGGCCAGGACTGCCAGCGCTGCAAGAAGGGCTTCAAAGCCAAGTCCTGGAAAGCAGGTTCCTACCTGCCGGCACCCAACGGAACCCCCAACACGTGTAAGTTAGAAATAACATCACTGACTCTTTTTAATAACACTTATCAGCCTTCTTCATTATAATAGAGCTGCACAACTGTAAGACTACTTTTTACAAAAGTGATGGAACATGACACATTTTGTCTTGAATGAATATAAACATCGTTGCCGACTTATGAAAGAGGTTTTCTATCACTCTGACGTCCTGCATGAAAGCAGGCTGGAAAAGAAAGAAAAGGGTGAAGAGGCTGAGTTGTTGTCACCTCTGTGCAGAGAGCACATCAAAGCCGTGTCATGACGTGGGAGTGTGTGAGGAGGAAATCCTCTCAGAGTATAGCCAGCTACAGTAGCTAGATATGATAAAATAATAATCTAGGGCAGCCCCTCCCTAGCCTTTCTCCTTCCAAACAGACACTGAGACACTTAGGAGCACGAGACATGCACACAGAAACCCGCAACTGCACACCTGTACTTGTGCACATGCACATGCACTCACACACACACAAACACACTGCAGGGAATGGCTCTATTGTTAGCCTTTTGTTTTAAATCCACCTGAGATTGCCGACCCAGTTCTAATGGTACCGACGCAACTCCCGAGCCCATCGCCCATTTTTTCCTTTTTTTTTAAAACTGGATCCCATTAGTGGAATTTTAAAAATTCAAATGTTTGCAGCTCGCTCCGTCGAAATGCTACACAAAACGGCCACGGCTCACGAAAGAGCCTCTACAGATTGCATTATGCATGCTCGGGCTAGGCTAACTGTTAGTACAATCTCGGGGAGAAAAAAAATATGCAAGAGAGGCAGAAGTTTTGATGCAAGTGTACCAAAGTGGTAGCGCTCTCTTAAAGCATCCATATGTGATGAGCGCCCATGAATATGGGGATTAGAGAGAGAGCAGCAAGATAAAATTAGGAAGAATGAAGGAGGCGGGTTCAGTAATTACTTCAGGACTTTGAGAGGTAGTCCAAAACAAGCCTTTATTTTTGCAGAGCAGCTCTTTAGCTCTCTCTGCCACCTGAGTCTGATGAATGAGGCAGAGTCAAGTCTTTAGGCAAACTGAATGCATAAATAAACAAGCTCTCATCTCATATCCTCTTCCCTTTTCTTATTCTCTTTCAGGTACAATTGCTGGTTCCCCCTCTGGTTCTAGTAAGTAATAATGCAAAGCGAAGCAGAAGAAGTGCTATTCCACTCTGCTTCTCTCCCTGTCTCGTCTCTGTCCCCTTTTTGTTGCATTGTTTTAACCCCACACCTCGCCATCTGGATCTCCTAAACCCCACCCTGCTCTCTCTCTTTGTGATGTTCAGCTGGCTCTCGACTCAGTCATTCCTCTTCCCCCCCTCTGCATCTCCTCTCCTCACTTGCTGCAGCTCAGGCCCTGCGTGCTTCATTATTAATAGGCCTCTCTGTCGCCCATGTCCTTTCATCCCAACACATCACACTAACCTGCACAGGAGGATTTCTTCCACAGTTCTGCTGTTTTTTTTTTTTATTTAGACTAAAGACACTTCTATTGATGGATTGAAGAAAAGGGGCGATGAGAGAGGGCTGAGTGAGGGAACGGCGGGTGGATGGAGCAGAAAAGGGAGCTGAGCGAGGGAGAGAGAGAACGAAAAGGGAGAGAAGGATGTGGGCATATGTTAGTGTGTTGTAATGCAGTGTGATTCCGGGTGAGGAGCGTGGGGAGGCAGGAATAAAAGGGAATTTGATTAGGGATTCTCTCTGTGGAGAGACTCGCAGCCTCCGAGCTGTTAGACAGAAACGATCGGCAAAGTGGCAACATCAACCCTGACAGCACTGGGCTTTTCTCCACATGGCCCAACAGTAAAGGCTGATGCATGGATAGACTGAGCAATTGGACTGCACTGCAGAAGCCTTCTTTTTTAAATGGTCTCCTCTGACAGTTAGACACAACTGTGTGGTTATTTAGAGAATGAAAAGAAAAAAATTGGTGTTATTTATCAAAGAAAATAATGATTCTAGCTAATGGGATGATTACGGGTTCGGTTTTCCAGTTTCAGCCTACCCACACATTTAGCTTCTGTTTATTAATGGAGATCTGTACTTGTTGCCAAATAGCCACAACAGGAACTTCATCTAGGACATTTACCGCTCCCAAAGCTGATGACGGGACAGAGGTGAAAGCTGGAGTTGAAGCTAAGGGTGAAACTGAAGGTGAGGGCGGGGCCGAGGGCGACGTGGAAACAACCACAACCATCTCTGAAGCTGAACGGCCCCCCGCTGTTACCCACAAACCACTTGGAGGCCTTCAGGAAGGTGCGACAAAGTAGATTAGGAATAGGTAGATTGAAAGTTGATGGTTTATACTTTTTCAATATGTCCTCAATATGATGCAGAAGCAGTTCTGATGAGCAACGTGCCTCTGTGGTGTTAATGCTCGGCCTGTCTCTAATGGTAATGTTAAAAGCTGGTTGTCTTATCTTGAGAGCAAGGTCATCAAGGTCATTCAGAGTTTATTCATTCAGATTGAATGATTTTTGAGCAGTCCGAGATAGATGTCAACATTTTGGTCAGTGGCCTCGATATACTGTACGGTAAAGTGGCCTGTAAAGCGCGGCTTGCCTTCATACTAAATTAAATCCTGCTATTTTGGTAAGCAACAAACCTCTCATGTAGTACCAGGAAAGCACTTAGAAAGTAGGAGGAGCTGTGATAGTTTTTTTTGGTCTTAAGGAAATCCATTAAGAGCATGTTTTGAACAGCGCAGCAGTTTTGTTGTTTGGCTGACGACAGGAACTCAAAAAACCCACTCATTTGCTTTGATTTAGGTGAGCCTGACAGGAGCTTTAACATTACATAAACAGGACTACAACCCTCAGAGAGCCTTTTAAAGTCCTGTTTGAAGGACACAAACTTTGCAGAATATCTCACGTAGACTTTTAAATTTAGTCATAATGCTAAAATAAAGCAACACAATGCATTCCCAATGGGGCCTCAACCTACAGCTTCTTTTATTATCAATTACTTCATTCTTTTTCTTTCATTAATCAGACAAAACCCAAAATACTGAATTAACAATTGGAGAAATGTTTTACAATTAAAAAAAAAAACACTGAACTGAGGGATTGAACCAGTGTTATCAGTGTGTTGTTTTACAGATTTTGTTTGTAGCAGCCTGTTGCAAGAACATAAAACGTGATGTAATACACGGTGGAGGCTGTGTCATGGTTTGGGGCTGCGGTGAAGTCAGAGGTGTTGAAGATCTTGTCAATAATGATGGAATTATGAATGCAAAAAAATACTTTCAGCTTGTGATTCACCATGTAAAACAATCCTGAAAAAGTTCCGAATATCAAGAACTGAGGAGTGGCTCAAGTTTTAATACATAAAAGTTGTTTCTGCTTGACTTCTATCTGTACATACCAGATATAAATGTACAATATGCAGCAATATTAAAAAAATATACAACACTGCTCTGTTACACTTCTGGTAGACCAACGTGAAAGATCATCCTATTGTAGAATTGTATTCTTGCCTATTTTTAATCTCAGCTTTAGAGAAATGTATTTGGCTTGAATCTGACCCCGATGTGAGCAAACCTCTGTTATCTGTGTGTGTGTGCGTGTGTGCATGTGTGTAAGTGCATGTGAATGTGTGTTTGTGAGCAGGTGTGTTTAGATTTATGGCGAGCATATGGTGCAGTTCAGTAAAACCCATAAATCATCTTCATCCCCTCCTTCACCTCCCAGGGATCTCAGGTCTTAGGTTCCATTCTCACAGAGTGTTCGCCACTACTGTTTGTACATGCACACACTGATGCACACGTGCGCGCGCACACACACACACACACGCACACAGGTTTTATCATATCATGTAACTGAAGGTCCTGACTTTAATATCTAGATCAAATAACACCATTAGTCTTGAATAATACAGCATAAACTGTTATTTCATTTATCTTATTTAAGTGTATCTTAAGAACCTTTTTAAAACCTCCAGGTTAGAAGTAACAATACATACTTTAACTTTTTGCCACTTATAATGCTTGATTTTTTTTTTTTTATATCCACATAAAAAGCCGGTTATATAAACAATATTTTCAATACTATTACCGTTTCCAGGAATATAAAAATGAAAATCCAGGCTTAGTTATTCATTGATTTTGATGTAAAATCAAACAATGATAAGTTGTATTTTTAATGTGTTCTGTGCTTCCCGAGCAGATGTACCTTTTAAAAAACATTACAGCAGCTTATGCTTGGACAGGATGTTATAGTAGTCGCAGCCTTTGTCGTGCCTCTGCCCCAGTTAAGTCAGTGAGCATGCTCAGATAAGGATTAGCAATGCATTGGCAAGAGGCTCTGATCCAATGAGCCCGTTGCCTATTGGTCAGCGGGACAGATGGGTGTTTGGTGAGTGGGGAGGGCTGGTGGGAGAAACCAAAATCCCCAAACCCTGTCGTACATCTACCTATCCAGACGCATGACCCCTCGTGACCCATGACTTCATCGTTTATCCAAAGCAGATCCTCTGGGCGGAAAAAGAGCCATACAAGCATAACCTGTCACATATGTGCGCACACACACACTGATGATGCATTACTCTCCTGAATTACTTGCATTTTTTGAAAAGATTGAACTTGGCCTTGGTCTCGGAGAGATTGGATCATGTCTGGAAAATCATGTGACATATTAATAACATCCATGCGCTCTGCTACCGTCAGGTGTTCGGGCAAAATGTTAACCGCCTATGAATCCCAATGTATTCATTAGTGTGACTCTAAATCAATGTTTAACACTCCGGTAATAAATGATGAGAATGCTAAGACTGACAGGTGGCATTAAAAATTATTGTTATACTTTTTTCCCGGGCTACATTAATTGAAGTGACAAATGATCTCATTACATGCAAATGCATAAAAATGCCAGTGCGCGCCAGCAGACACTACATGCTCGCTTCAGCACGCGCGATGAGGCGAGGTGTGTGCATGGAAGAGTGTGTCATGGGACAGTTAGTGAGTCCATTTGCGCAGACAGACAGGCTCATATTAAGGGATTTAAAAATGAATCAGCTTAGACTGCCAATGCATTATGTGTGAGAGCGGTGGCACTGTTGCATGGCTGGAAATGATACAAAGACTTCTTTTTTTATTTTTAACCCTTTTTCTGTATATACAGAGTCTATTACATTCCACAGCTCTGTTTCTGGGGTCGGAAAATCACATTTCAGCTCTCTAAACCCCCCATTATTTCAATACAAGTGAAGGTAGGCGCCATAGTGTGAGACTCACTTAATGTATTTTAGTTTCGATTGCAGTAGAGTGATATTAGGATTGATAGCTATGAGTGCGATGGTTAAAATGCCTTCCTTTACATCTGATTCAGAGTTTTCAAAAACCTCATACTCAAAATCCACTGCTAGCCCGAGTTTAAAACCTACCAGATTCCTCTTCTCCATTCCTTTCCCGGTTCTGCTTTCAAACCTCTCTGTGGAGCTGGACAGCCTACTGTCCTTCCAGAAATAGATTTGTTACATTGTTGCACCAATGTAAAATGAGTTTTATGATGTACTTTTCACCAAGCATCTTACAAAGAAGCTTTGATCTTGTTCTCATCATACAGGAAATTTAAAGTATCTGACTGTTCTGGATCTGTAAGGGGAATAATCCTGCATAATTTCCTGTATTTACAGGTATTACATTCTACAAACACACAATAAGCCCAGAGACAGACTGGCGACCTGTCCAGGGGTGTATCCGCCTCTTGCCCCGTGGTAGCTGGGATAGGCTCCAATCCCCACCCATCCCCCATATGACCCTGAACTGGATAAGCGGAGAAAATGAATGGATGGATGGCTCAATGGAAACATACACAATATATGTCTTAATTAAATTATTATAAATAAACCAACTGCAAAATAAATATATTAACGATGCAATAAAGTGAAGTGTAGAGGAACCACGCAGCTAGTATTACAACTCAGTTATTCTCTCTCATTAACTGCTTACTGATGATTCACTTAAGTGGAAAATAGCATGACAATCAGCCCGGACATTTCCGCGGTTTCAATGCAGTTTTGTATAATTAGATTATGTGGCAATCTGGTGCACCTCTGTGCAGCTGTGTTACATTTATAGTGATCCAGCAACTGATTTGTTGCTGTTTTGAAGGTGAGAGATAAGCGTTGCCATTATTTGTCATTGTTTTTGTCTGACGACAAAGCTGAGTGTGTGCAAA